ACAGAATTTCATGTGACAGTTCACATTGTCTGCACACAAGTATATATGTACCCTAGAAGGAAGTAGTTCTTTTCTTTGCAGTAAAGGAACTTAATGAGTTGATATGGTTGTTTTTCTAATTTCCACTAATAAGGCCAAATGTTAGTGATGGATAATTTTTTCTATGGTGTTGCAGCTTTTTCTCTTCATTTGCCACATTCTGTCTAGGCTGTTCTGTATTTGTCATGAATGACTCTTGCAAAAAGTCATTGACACTACTAGAATCAAGGTTGTAACAGCCTGATTTATCACTGTTTGAGGTATTTTATTTCATCTTGACTAAAATGACTTATTATTAAAGCACTTTTCTAATTATGAGCTATTTACTTGTTCAATACTTGAGAGTTTTACAAAATAAAACCTTGCAATCTGCTCGCATATCAAAGGCCATGGTATTCATAGTTAGTTCATTTTCTGTGGGCCTATTACCTCTGTGATTAGCAATTTCTGTGATTATTTTAACATCACCAAACAAAGCAGGTTACCTTCTCACTCAAGGTGCCTTTTGACTGAAAATCCACTATTGCACCTTCATTTTCCAACACCAAGGACTCAGTTTTCACACAGGAGATGTCAGTCAAATCAGTCTGACTTTCACTGAGAACCTACTCTCAAACTTTTATATTCTCAGGGCATTCCTGTAGTTCCATGCCCATATATACAGCAAAACCTCACTTGCATGGAGATTGTTGTGGCTATTTCACTTTCTTAATATCCCACTTCATCATGAAATATACAAAGTAGGAATATATGAAGTATATCAGAGTTCTCCATGGAGATTGGATTAAACAAAAAAAAAACCAAATAAACAATTCAGCATGAGATCATATTTTACCTCCTCATCCAATGCAATTAATGGCCAAACTATGCTTGTCTGGCTTTGAATACAAAGTCCTTTAATTGAAGAGGGTCTTTGTGAATAAGTTAGACTATGCCTTGTCAACAAAGAGAAATTTCTTCCATACTGCTGAGATTACAGCTGCATAAACCAAACATTCAGCCCTCTCAGTGACCAAACTAACCAACAAAACCTAAACCCTAGGGCTTTCCACCAAACTGATTTGCTCTCCATGTGCTACAGGAAATCTTCCCTCTGTCCCCTCCCTATATAGGCACCCTGTGCAAGATGAATGTGATGAGACCACCAACACCACCACAGCAAACATTGCAGTAGTCAAAGCTCACCACTCCCTCCCACCTCTCCCTGTGCCCCAGCAGAGCACTACCAAGGTCCATAAATTTGTCTGGTCCTGACAGTTTTATGGGGCCAGAGCTACAGTGCTGATCCATGCTGGATTCAGCTGAAAGCCTGGATGATATTTCTGGCTTGGCTCTCACCCTGAGCAAGGATGCCTCCGGGAAGTTTCAGCTCCAGTTCACAGTCATGCCAAGGAAATGGGCTGCACATCTCAGCTGAATTATTTTGCCTCTATCAATCACCTTCTGACTACAATACACTTTGGTGATGTTCTTCCTTTTCAGATTTGACCTCCTCCTCAAAAGTAGTCTTCCAGTGTATAACCTTGTGCTTGCTGACAAGACAACAGTTAAAGCTGGCTCAGTACTGTCATTAAACTGTCATCTAGTACAACCGTATTTGAGGATATACTCTTTGCATCTACAATGCTTTGGCTTATCTGTACCAGCCAGAGACTCCTAAAATACCTTATTCTTCATGTCATGCCTCAGGTGGCAATCCCCTTGCTCTCCCTTGCCCAGCCTACAAAAACACTCTCAACAGCTCATGTCAGAATGGGGGTTGTGAGTTTCCTGTTAAGTCCTTTTTTTGTTGTTTGTTTGTTTGTTTTTTGTTTGTTTGGGGTTTTTTAGGTTTTTTAGGGGTTTTTTTGTTAAGCAAAGCCTACACAGGCCTATCACAAGTAATTTGCAGTCTAAGAAACTATAAGTAGTATAAGCACTCTGATGGAATAGACCTGCAAATATTTCCTTGAGTCTTATCTGCCCACACTGGCAGGTGACAGGAACATTGCACTTCACTTGGCACATGTAATTATATTGACTGAATCAGTTTCTCAGTGCAAAGGTGGTCTCTCAAGTCCAGAAACTGTGCAGCAACATTTAAACAAAGATACACAAATATAAAAAAAAAGTTAAATCCCAAAACCAAAAGAATTATTAAAGTAACAAATAATGCAAAAAATTACCAAAAAACTAGAAGAAAAACATGGTTATTGCCATTCCTTGATGTCTTCTGGGAGCTGTGCATTAATCAAAGATCTGGATTTGGCTGAAGATGGGGAGGAAACACCTTAATGACCATAAGACATTAAATTCAGTGACTTACTGATCTATTTCTGGCCTTAAAATCTAAGATTACCTTTCCATCTAAAGCCTTGGACAAGACCAAATTGATATTGAGGACTTGTTATAAAGATATAAAGATTTTTTAAAAAGCAAAAAATGTGAACTTTTTAACTTGTTTTTCTATTCTGAAATAGCAGCAGTCTCAGTAACTCCATTTCTCAGCCAGTAAAAGCAGAGGAACACTGCAGACGGGTTTCCTGCCTGCCAGCCCAGCACAATTTTGTCCTTTCCATCACACATACGGGTAGTAATGCAAAGGTTAGCAGGCCAAAGTGTGCACATGCAGGAAAAAAACAAGATGTGGCCCTTTTGCCAGGTGTCCTATCACAGCAGGGGAAACAGATGGGAAGATCAGCAAAATTTGGACTCACAAAAAGCTGCTCCATTGGGCAGCACGCTACCTCTGAAAATATGACCTTCCAAAGAGAGCTTCTCCCTAAAATCACTGGCTGAAAATTGCCTTACATTAAAAGGAAATGCCAATAAAAGAATTTGAGGTAAGCAGTAAGTCTGATACTTCTGCTTTTGTTCTTGAAAAGGCAAATTTACAACTGAATGAGTCATTAGAAAGTCAATTCACAGCTGTGACAAACAAGGGAAGAGCTATTCAAGTCACAGTATCACCAATAGTATTAATGATCTTGGTAATGAAAAGCTGATGAGTTTTAACAAGTGTTATCTGACACACAAGATAAATACTATTAAATATGAAAAGTCTCTTTAATTACATGTGGAGTTTAGAGGCTCATAAAAGCCGAGCTCATTGGTATGCTGCCGGCCCCCTCACCTGTCAGTAGGCAGAATAATGCCATTGCTCAGTCACTGCCAGCACCACCTGAGCCCCGGATTTCCACAGCACGTGGGGGCACTGGACTTCTGTTCTGGATCTTTCCATAAGGAAGCCACAGGCTCAAGGCAATTTCAAAAATTATGGTGCTGCTTTAGCTCTGTACGAGTGGGTGGCAGAGCTCCCAGGCAGACAAAAATGTTATCACATTTAAATGGTTTTAAATGTGTGTTTGTTTTTCATATGCAAGGACCTTACAGAGATGCCCATGCCACGTTTTTCTCTGACACTGATAGTCACAAAGGTATATTTTAAAAGGCATTTTAAAAGGCAAAGGCCAACAGACAATTCCTGACCAGGTTTGTAATTTAGAATTCAGCAGGCTTTTGTTTCAGTGCCCGAGACAAACATTTGGCTCAAATGCTTATAAATACCTGTATGCTTTTCACTAAGATGGTGATAGGAATGGCAAGTGTCTGTTTAAGAAAAAAAATCTTTCCCAGTCTTCACACTTCTTTACACCTATACTTTTATACCAAAATTTGAAGCAGCAGATAAAAGATGAGTCTTTTTCATCTTAATTGGCATGTTTTCTTAATATTGGCAGTGCTTCAATTAAGTTGTTTTGGTGAAAGAAATTTATTTAACCTGCCCTCATGAATAATAGAACCACTTCCTACTACTTCTAATCTATGGCAGGAGCACAAGAGAGAAATACAATTTTATAAAATTCCACCTCTGGCTATACTGTCCCCTCCACAAACCTCTTTAAATAGCCTCATATTTAACATGAAGAAGCTGAGTCATGTTCACACTAGTTTGCACGGTAGGCCTGGGGCTCAGGGCAACTTTTGAAGGGAATGGAATAATGAACCATCCAGAAATGGAGGGATTAAAATCTCAGATGAATGATTTTTTTGTAGTATTTTCTTAAATAAAACAAATTAAAATAAAAATAAATAATAAAATAAAAATAAAGTTTCAATTTTTATTAAATTGGCATTTATGTCTTAAAGACACATATATCAATATAATTTGTAAAAAATATTATATATATAATTTCAATTGTATGTACGCAGTTATAATTGACATATTAAAAAAATCCCAATTTCATTTAACAGAGAGCTAAAGTAAAAAAACTCCTAAGCCAAGGTCCTCTGAACATTTGCTCACCAATCTCAATTGTTTGTTTTCTGAGTAAGAAGAAATGAGCTCTTAACAAGTATGTCTATAAGACACATGTAAAAATATTTGGGGTGAATGTCTATGTATGTCATCCCAAATTTCCTGGATCTGGTCAGGTAGGTAATTATGTTTTCTACAAATTTTTCATTTAGTTAATATTTATTAAGATAACAGTTCATATTTCATTGAAAACAAATTCTAGCCATGGTAGGAAGAAAATTGGGAGCAAGTCCTAGAAGAAGGGAGAGAGTGGGGTAGAGAGCGAATTAATGAAGTAGCTTCACTTCATTTACCAGTTGTTTGAAAACATAAGTAAAATCCACTTCTCCCTGGCTCACTGAGTGACACTTCAGCTGTAAACCCTATCCTGCTCATTTTCACTGTATGCCACCAGCACTGGAATGTATTTGTGGGGATTAGTGGTGCTTTGAGTGCTTTGAGTAGCTATTTGGGTGTCACACAGGCAGGCATCTATGCTGACAAGCATTAAGTGTGCAAACTCCAGTAGGAGCCAAGACCCTGTTGTGCCTCCCAGGCTGGGATTTTTACATTTGGTGCTGTCACTTGCTGTGGAGTCACTTCTGGCTGCTTTTAACAGGATCATGCAGTACTGTACAAGAGATTCCACTCCTAATTGGCAAAAGTTGCACGACCTTACCTTGTAAAATGTAACAGTTTTCCTTTGATATGTTCCACTCTATTGCTTCCAGGAGCTAAGGATCCTCAGCCCTTCCAGGAGCTGCTCAGATCATCTCAGGATCTAGTCTGTTTCAGACTGTTAACATTCCCTGTGCATTATATTATTATCACCATAGAAACAGATATAAAGTGCATTAGAATTAAGGAATAAGCACAATTAATATTTTATAGATCAGATCTAAAATGCTTTTAACCTTTTATAATCACAACCAGATACTCTCAAATTTTGAAATGATACAGCATTTTTTTTTAATTTTAAAGCTGCCTCCATTAAAATCATGTAGGTGTTAAAGACATGCCTTTGACTTTAAATGTGAATGAGGTAAACTCTTAAGTATCTGATCTAACCACAGGATTTTTATATGAATTATATGATACTCCCATGAGAACATGGTAAGAGTTTCACATCTTTACAATACCAAAGAGCCTTGATGTATTTATTACTTACTTTGTATTGCCCTAAGCATTTGAGAGGCCAAAAGAGAAGGCTGAAAGGAGGGGGGTCAGCAAAAAAACACAGCATGAAAAGGATGTGAGGTTTTTCAGAGAAAAGGAGATGGAAAGATTAACATATTTAATTATGGAATTTCTGTGGAATTATAATTTAAACCATTGAACTGAATTCATTATACCTCTGGGACCAACCACACTGCAACAGCATGTTAAAAACACAACATATAAACATGTGTCAAAACTGGCCAACCACATGGACAACCTTGTCTGCAGATACACACCTGGGTCTACCTGAGGAAGCAACTCACTGCATTACCAGAACTGTCTTTGCACAGTGCTTCTGGGTGGCAACATGCATTAAATTTTCTGGTCACTCCACAGCTCACAGGGCGGCTCAGTGGCACTGTGGGAAGGAGACAAGACACCAAATTGCAGCTTCAGCATCTCATTTTGAGCTCACTGTCTTCCTTGGGGAAAATCACTGAGTAAAAGCAATATGCTTTGTGGCACGTTGCTGTACACCGCATCTCTGGCTGCCTTCAGACACCTGCCAGCTCAAATCACCAGCACAAACATGCATGCACACGAGGTACACAACACATGAGCTCTCCTACAGCAGATACTTGATGCAATAAAGCCAAGGAAAACATGTTCATGTCCCATCATCTCAGTGAGTTTAGGAGGCTCTTGCCACGAAGGCACAGTCAGAGGATTAGTGGAGCACTTTGAGTTTATTGCCATCTTCATGCCTACTTTTCTCCAAAAGCAAAACTCCTGCTGGCTCCAATAATGCAGTATCAGAGGGAAGATGTTCTATATCATCTGAGGATCTCACCACCCTCATCAAGTGAAATACCACAGATGATGCAAAGACTCATGAGACAAAAATATTTTTGCTTGCAGGAAATGGAATTGTAAAAAGAAAGAATTAATGGTTCATCTGGTAAAAATTTACAATGTGTTTGATTACACAGCAGTCAGATACTTCCTTAACTTTCTCTCTGCTTTTAGTACAAAATGCAACACAAAGCCTCTAAAGGCAACAAAACCCAATGGGAAGAGAAATACATCAGTCATGGGTGCATTGGTAATTCACATGGATTTTGTTACGGTTTACTTTTTGTTCAACCCTGTCTTAAAAATGATCCCTTAAAATCACATGTAGATTTGCAGCTACAAGTAAATGACACAAATATCTGTAAGCTGTGTGGCAACCACAGTGAGAAAAATCAACCAAAACTTAGTAGTTAGAGTTATAAACTGCAGAAATATTAAGACCTTATGTAGTAACAACTTCATAGTATGCCATATGGGAAATAAACACAAATGACTGGGAGTGTTTATTTTTCCCATTCTAAAACAACCCCTTGTGCTTTTTAATTTGGTTAGTTTTGTTTGTTTTCTTGTTTAAAAACCAACAACCAAACAAAAAAAAAACTGCTGAAAAAACACTGTGAGAAGACATTAAAAGTATAACATATTCCCAAACACAAAAATGTGTGTCTATCTATCTATCTATCTATCTATCTATCTATCTATCTATCTATCTAATATACATTGTAGTATTATCCACTATACTCCACTATAGAAAACAAAGTCACAAGAAGCAATAAATACCTGCTTATTTAAAATGAAATTAAATTCAGCTAATAACCTGCTGGCATATTTATAGTTGTACTCTGCATTCTTCCATTTATTTACGAGTTTACATCAAAGTGCAGCTATTACAATAATTGCAAAGTATTTCAGGGAAACTGGGGATATTTCACCCTTCTTTTAAAGGCAGTTTGTCAGCAGACACAAAAATGTATCAAGAAACTGCCCACAGGTGCAGGTTGAAATATTATCAGAGGCAAAAACCAAGTTCAGAGACCTGACTAGGGGAGAAAATAAAGCATAAAACTTGACTTAAAAAAGAAAGCATGATTGTTGTAGAAAGACATTGGGAAAGATCCCCCAGTGTGTCCCATGGGCCATGGAGAAAAGTTAGGGGTTTTGTTGTCAAATTCAGAGTTACAGGAGACCTCTTCTCCACTGCAGCTGAACAGTTCTGTGCTTGTATCAGATGTGGGTAGGAAAAGATCTTTTCCCTGGGCTAAAATAGATTATTAGGATTTCCATTCAGTGTGAATACTACTCACTGCTAGTGCTTCACTCCAAATAAATAAACTAAACAAACACTTATAGATTTCATTTTTCTCTCAGTATTAACTTGGAAAAGAGAAGAAATCTCAAAAATTTTCAATGAAAGTAAAATATCCAACTCCCCAGTATATATTTTTTTTCTCCAGACCATGCTATTTCCGTATGCTATTACTTCTATATCTTTCTGTCAGAGAAACATAGAAGCAGTAGGACTGGGAGATGCAGCCAAGCGCAGCCACCTGCAGATACTAGGAAAACCACAAAATATTTGCTGGAGCAACAGATGCCAATGTTTAGCTTGCTACAGCTATTGAGGAGAAACAGGAGAGGAAAAAACATGAGGAAAGCTTCTGTGCTTGACTTACTGAAGGATGGAGAGATTAAATTAAAAGATGGCTAAATAAAAATGTAAATCTGTTTTCATATGTCTTTTCTGGGAGGTATAAAATGTGCAGAATAAGCAGGAACGTATAGATTGTTGTTTTCCTTTGACTCAAGCCACAGTAATATTTCTGATCTCAGAAATCTTCACTCTGATTGAAAACGAGGTGTTCCTGACAGAAGTTTCACATTTTAGAAGTTTTCAGCCTAAGGGTCAGAGCTGCAGTGCGTAGGAGTCAATAATGTGAAGTGAAACAATGTAAATAATGAAATCAATGAAAAACTCCCAGAGAATCCAGCTCCTTGTGTACTGTGCCATAAGACAATAAGAATACATCCAACAGAACTGAAATCCCGGGAGGAAAATGAATTTAGGAAAATATGTTTCTGCATTTTTTGATGTAGAAAACATATATGGAAGGAATTCAACCATTTGTTGCTACAATGCCCCTCACAAAGATGCAATAACCCACTTCTCCAAGAGCCCAGGCTAGCAGTGAGGTGTGACATTTGTGCAGGACAGCAAATTGTTACTGGGGAGAGAAGCTATACTCCTTGATTGTTTGGCATATTGACAATAAACCTATATTTTCTGACAATGAAGACTTTTAAATTTAGTTTTCAAGGTAAAAGGAAAAGAAAACATGTTGGGCATGAGAAATACACTAGCAGGAATGAACAGATGGTACTGTAAATAGGAATAGGTCAGAGCTTTCCTCTTCTTGCTGATTTCTTCTCAAAGGTTTCATTAGATCAATGCCTAGAAAAACTGAACAAATTGTAAAGGCTGAACAAAAAGCAATATGGAGTCATTTGAGAAAGGTTGGGTTATATGTAATCACGGAAAACAAAACAAAATGTACTAGGAGTGTAAAGATATTTCTGCCTGTCATGTAAAGAAAAACATCTGCTTACATTCTTTTTCATCATTTGTCTTTTCCTGTTTTCCAGTTTAGTGGAATTAATTTGGGTTCTGGGGGTCCCTTCAACTCCACTGTTTGGCTACAGCTTTTAGGGGATCCAAAATTGCTGGGTATTTTTCTGGACAAGAACTATGATCTGGGGATTCTTTAGTATTCGACTTGATTAGACAAAGAAGTAAAGCACAGACTGACTTAGTGACTTGCACAAAGCAACGGTGGAAATCTGGAGCAAAACAGAGAAAAAAACCCATGTCTTCCCAGGCAGGATTCAGCACCAAAACACATAGATCACTCTTTTGTCACTACCTCAGTGTTATCAGAGAAACAGAGCAGGAATTAAATTCTGACAAATAATCAATTATGTAAGCAAGGCAATCTGTCCTGGGAATGTTTTAATCACCATTTTCCCCTCAGTCTTCCTCCAAAGCCTGATGACTATGGTACTGCAAATCAGGAGCTCAGACCTGGCAGATCTGAGCAGAATAAAGCAGAAAAGAATACAAGTTCTTTAGTGTTATGACTTTTGTGAACTTCATTGAGGTTACAAAAATGCAGTAATTGTCCTCTGCATAACTGAAAGGCTAAGGCTCATTGCAAATTCATAGGATGATTTCTGATTTCTAGCTGCTTATTGCTTCTCAGTTCCTGGTATCCTGTTAAGGACAGGAGAAACACTGCTGCTGGTCACTCTTTTGAAATTATAATGAAAAAGTTAATTCTCTTGGAACTAATCAGATATTACACATCGTTCTACAATTATTCTATTGAACAAAGGTCTCTCTAAAGAAAAATTGATCTAACACCTCTAAATGATGCAGTCACATGTATTTCCAATTGTCACAAATAAGAGATCTATTCACCCTCTTAGCATCAATTTTTGCTTCATGGTTTCGTGAAAATAGTTCTCTTCAAAATTCATAAGATCTTTGTGTTCATTTAATTTCAGCTGTTCTGAAAAAAATATATTAGTACTTTGTCAAAGATATTGACCTCATTTTTTGTAATGAGGACTGCCCAATATCTGGATGAGTTCAAAGGATCCTTGCCTTTTTTAATTCAAGACTGAATAACACTATATCGTCTTTTGAATGCCGGAACTATAAAACCATCTGGCCGTACAGTTGTTCTAAATTTCTCATTATTTTAGGCTGCATAGTATGTGTTTGCTATTTTAAATTACAGTGCTGCAATTCATATCCACAGGCAGAAGAGATGGAAACTGAAAAATCTTAATGCCTTCTATAAGCTGATGTGCTCAAAGGAGAGCAAGAAGCATAACAAGTTGGCATTAATGCCCTTGTCAGTGATTTCTTTTTACAGCAGTTGAAACTTGTGCTTGCTGATGATAGATATATTAAATCATATGTCTGGAAGCCTGACTCAATACCTCCCAGCTGTAACCTCTGCTGGCCCATCTTGTGGTTCCAACACACTGAGCAGAGTACTCACTCCTTGTTGTAAAATGCATCCAAAGATGAAGGAGATACAACCAGAAATTCTACTGGTGATGAACAGCAGGGTAGGTGCTTTGTATTTTTCAGACTGGCCAAAATAATGCAACAACAGATACACATAGAAAAAAAGCTGACATCCTGTGGTGTTCCTGTTGACATATCCTTAAGGAAATCCCTCCACATTCATGACCTAGTGTAAAATGGTCTAGGAAGGAAAGGAAAGATTTTAAGACAAACTCCTTGCTGGGAATCTTAGAAGTCCAGACCTGATATACTGCTTTTCTCTGAGATTTCCCACACAGGTGGTGAACTACTGTGTTTTTCTTTCTCACCTCTGTCTTACTGAGATCCAAGGAAACAATTGCCTACAGCCTTGCCACTTGTTACCAAGATTTTTCCATAAATCACGTGAATTAAAGTTTCCTACAGAAAAAAAACTGGTGGCCTGCTTCAATTTTCTGTTTCCCTTCTCACAAATAGTGTTGTGTGTCCATATAGGTCATTTAGCTTGAAATGTAATAGCCATTACATCTTTTAAGTTGGAGCCTAAATTTTTCTATATGTATTTCCTAATTCTAACTGAAGAATGTTTATACAACCTCTTTAAATAATTGTTTCCTAACTAACTTAAAAATCAGACTTCAGACAAGCAAACTAATAAGCCACTGCCGTTAGCAGTATAAACTTCCCCCTAACAAACATAAACTAAGAGTGACAGAGATATGGTAACTGATTTAATTATGTAATAGAATATGATATTTAAATGAAGCTTTATTTAAATGAAGTTAATGCTGTCTGTAAAGTGTTTTCAGTACTTAAAGGCTGGAAAAGATGGTGAGGGGTTCAATAAACTGCTTTCCACTTCTGCTACTGGGGAGAAATCTCAAAAAAAAACTAACAACCTACATCTTTGCAACAGGCCACCACAATTAATCAACAGTACATTCTGCTTTAAATGTAAGAACAGTATGTTAGAAGTCAGCTGAAAATTGAGCATTGGTGTTCTCTCCCATTGACCACAAAACCACATTTGTCTCAGCACTTTGACAACCAAACAAGCAGGAATGCATGAATGATGCTTAGGGATGACACTTGTGAATGTAATGCTTCCCAAAACCTCTTCAAGCACACATCATCCTTGGAACACAAAATTCCTAATTCTGTCAAGTTTGGTGTCTCCACAAGTTATCTCTCAAGTCACTGACACTTGTTTAACCTAATAGTGTCTTGGGACAACTCCAGAGGTTAACTGGAACATGAAGATATTTTGGCTTTCTCCCTCTCTGCATATTCACTCCCCTTCAGCTGCAGGTTTTCCCCATGTCACAACCTGCTTTCACACTTCTATGTCCACATCAAGTAGTTATCCAGATGCAACGTGGAGCAAAATAGGCCAGACCTGAGCTGGCTTACGGTGAGTGCTGTGCAGCCAAGCTGACCCTATTACAACAAAATGTTAGAGAGCATTCCTGGCCTGAGTCCCAGCCACCTCCACATTCCTGCATCTGTGTCACACTTCCACTAGTGCTCTCACTTCTGGCTCCAAATTATTGGCCTGCACACACCTCTGCTCAGCCTCCCCCATACTTCTTTGCCTAGAGGTTTCCTGGCTTCTCCCATTGCTGTTCTCAGTGCAGGGGAGGCAAATAGCAAAAAATGGGGACCCTAGATTTCACTGCCATCCATAACCTAACCCATTGCTGTGGTTTAGGAAAGTATTCTCCAATTTAGTGCTGTGACTAGAACCCCGTGCTGTTCAGTCCCTCTCCATCCTCCCCAGCCAAAGGACAGAGAGGAGAATTGGAGGCACAAAAGGTAATAATCACAGGTTGAGATAAGAACAATTTACTGGAAACAGCAATGAGATTAGAAAACAAACTGTAACAGCAACAGTGTAAATAACAAATGTGTACAAAAGAGAGACTGATTCACATGCAAAATACTCACTGCAGAGTCCAAGACCCAACCACCCAACCTCAGCCACCCTGACCAGAGGAGAGATGTGAGGTGCTGTAGAATATCCTCTGGGTCTGAGCCATGACACCTCCTGGCTACTGCAAAAATTAACCCTTTCCCAGCCAGACCCAGGACACCCCTGTACACAGATTCATCAGCAGGGTCTGGTGTGCATGTGCAGACACCAAGAGAGAGAAAATGTGCTCCATCCACTTTTCAGTCCAGAAAGTATTGACACTCATCTCAGAGGAATTCATAGCCCTGAACTGGGACCACTTCTTCTTGGACTGACTGACTCAGAGTACAGCAGGGTGAAGATGATCTGCATGAGGGAACAAAGGAGTTAAGTCTGTCAGCACAAGGACTGGAATGGTTTGGGTTGGAAGAGATCTTAAAAATCATTTAGTTCCAAACCTCTTGCCATTTGTAAGGACATTTTCCACCAGACCAGGCTGTTCAAAGCCCCATCCAGTCTGAACTAGCTTGGGTTATCCACGATTTCTCTGGGCGACCTGTTGCATTGCCTCACCACCTTCACATTTCTTCCTAACACCTTGTCTAAATCTGCCCTCTTTCAGTTTGAAGCCATTGCCCCTTGTCTTATCACTAGTTGTGAAAAGTCCCACTCCCCCTGCCCTTTAGGTATTGGAAGGATGCTCTAAGGGATCCCAAGTATTCTCTGTGGTAAACAACCCCAGCTCTCTCAGCCTGTCTTCATAAGAGAAGTGCTCCAGCCCTCTGATCATCTTTGTGGCCTTCCTGTGGAGCTGCTCCAACATGTCCACATCCTTCTTGTGCAGGGAACCCCAGAGCTGGACACAGCACTCTAAGTGAGGTGAGAGTGGAATAGATGAAGGATTGGGCAAGATTTTGCACTCTGATTTCAGACATGACTTTTCAAGTGCTCAAATGGTAGGTACATTGTCAGCTCACCTCTAGTTATCTGCTTCCCTCACCTCAGCCCTGCTTTGAAAATGCAGACAGAGGTAAAAATGCCCTGCCTTAACTGTATTCTTACAGTGTTCAAACAGACTGTCATTTTTCTTATGGCAGACAAGTAAAAATGACAAGCTTTATGCTTGTTGTAAAAAATAGTATGCCATAAAATGTTATTAAATGCATCTCCACCCAAATACCGTTTCATCTAAATCTCCCTCTTCTCAAAAGAAACCGAGCTAGTTTACTGGAAAGTGATAAAATAGCATGGCTTTTGCTCAGTAAAAATTATAGGTAATCTCTGCAATTTCTTGTTAAGACTAGTCTCCCTGTACTATGCTTGTAATTTGTCATTTTTACCCTGTAACTATCCCAGCTACCTGCTAAAGATGCAGAAAAATTCCCTTTACATAGATAGAAAAGGGCTGCTCTTCATAGTCCCAGTCCTGCTTCATTCTCAGCATGGGCTTCAGCCTTTCAACAAGGAGGAGGCTGCAGGACCAAATGACATAAAGCTTTGCCTGCCTTTGATCCTTTAGGCAAAGGGGATCTGCTCCTGTTGCATCTTCCCATCTGCTCCTGTGCCCTAAAAGCACACAGACCAACCCACAGCACTGCCTGCAAGCCACAGGGAAAACCATGGGGTGTTTTATACTGTCTATCCTGCAATCAGGTGATAAGGTGGGGATGGAGGGAAGAAGCAGCCCACTGACACCAGGGTGCAGCTGTGCCAAAATGCACTGACCTGTGTGTTCACTGGCACACTGTTGCTGACCTGTGGGCTGTCAGGAATTAGGATGTGGTCTTCTGCCTCATTTTCTGATCTGTAGTTAACAGTCTAGTAAAGGAGATTCTGTTCTTCCTGTTGCTGCTGGAAATAAAGCATTTATTGGAAAGCAGGCTTATGTCACATAGTTAAAAGCAGGTGTTTTTCAGTGGTTTTTACAACAAAAAGGCATAGTGTCTCTTCAACCTGCAAAAATAAAACAGAATTACTTTATGGTCTACATTATTTAGTCTTTCTTATAACAAAACCTTGTGAATCAGGAGGAAGGAAGCTGAATATGTTCTGTGTGGAAGATGCTCATGCTGGATACAAGCATAGCACCTGCAAGGTCCTCTGTCTCTTCACACACTGGAGTCAACCTAACATGCAGGAAAGCTCTTCTGAATGAAAACCTCTCATAAGTTGATCCAAAGTTCACATTAAAATGTAGATCAAAAATCCAGAGGGAATTACATAATTTCACTAAAATTTCTTAATAAATGCTCTGTACTTCACTATCTGTCTCCTTCCAAGAAAGATATAAAGTCATTCTGCCATCTCCCATCCTTCTCTAGGACTTTTACCTTTATATTTAAGGCAGATTGAAATGGTTGAAAAATTATTTTGGCAACAGATTTTACTTTCTTAATAATAAAATTGTATTCCAAACAAGTTGGGAAAAGGGGAAACGTGGGGGTGGAGGGGTATGTCCGTATATCAGTATTTCTGACTTGAGGGGTGTTACGTTACTACTGGTGTTTTGTACAGTGGCAACACAGTAAACAAAATCCATGAAGTGCAGGTTCTGTTCCTGGAACTAGAATTGTGGTGTCAGATAAAAGGTGCTGACTAACAGAAATATTAACTGTCATGTGATGTTCAGAGAAACTCTTTTGCTTATATCTTTTCTAGAAATACATTTATGCAGACCTCTATCTCACATGTGTGAAAGGCAGAAAAAAATCCACTCTATTCCTAGAACCAGTCAAGTGCCTTATCCTTTCATGTTTGGTGCCGTTTTCTTTCCATTGGTCTCTGCTTCTTTGAAGCATCTCTTTTTTAACCATAAAGACAAACATATTTTTCCTGGTTAAGGAGCTCATATGAAAAATAAAATACCCACTGGTTTTAATCTGTGCAAATGAGGTATCCATGGCTTTATTTTCTGGCTGTTCTATATATGCTGACACAAAGTCATCTCTTGTAGAATATAAGTTATTCATGAGGACAATCTCATTTGCCCTAAACAATGCTCCGCTTTTAATTACATTGCCACAGAGCAGTTGAACAACTCTCAGGAGTCTGAAAATATAAAAAAAATATTTAGCTCAGACAGGATTTCTGTTTACTGCAAGGTTGTATTTAAACAAGACATTTCTATATACTGATATATATGTAGTAAAAGATACAGATAATAGCTCTGGTAAGTGTGCAGCTTCATGCCTGGTGTTGTGTCAAAGACACCTCCATGACTACTTCCTGGAAAGCAGAAATACAGGAACATAGTACAGTTGAACAAAAAAATCCCCAAAATTTAGACCTTGCGTCTTCCCATAAATTTCAATCTCAAATCCTATTCTCTTGGGCCATATAAGCCCCACTATTATAAAAGGTGCTGAAATCTTTTGCTTTGCTCTGTGTCGGTTTATTTTCTCCCAGACCTCTGTTTGCTTATGTAAATTTTGTACTTTCATGATCCATCCTGGATCTGTGTAACATAGCATAGCTGCCCCTCTGCTCCACAGTCCTGTTTCCCTAATAATGCATATATGTTAGAGCTATTAATTCCTGGGAAATCAAAAGGCAGAAAAGAGGGGTGAAGTGTATGCACAGATATATCCCCACATCTCATACATGAATCAATGAGCTGGAAAGAGCTCCTGGTACATGGGCTTGCTCTTTCTACAAGTTTCAGATATTTATGATAATAAGGAAAAATAAACAATTTATAAGGTAAAGCTCTTTTAACTTCTGTGGGACTGTGATGTTGTTTAGGCTACATTAGGCCTGACAGTGAAAAATCTGGTCCCTGTAATTGTGGACACGTAAACTGTAAAAGATACAACTTAAATGCCTCAAATAAAAGCTATGATCTAAGTCTTACCAGAGTACTTAGATAACAAAAATCTTCCTGTTCATTCAGAACAGCAATGTAATGCATGGTAAATTAAAACAAATGCAAGACTGAGCTGTTGGAGTCTTAAACATCCATAAAACACCTTTCTAAAAAAGTTTATTTATTTTCTTCCCACAAATTTACAATGCAAGAGGAAAAACAGACTGACCTATTAGTTACAACTTTAAAACCTGACACTGAAATTGCCCTTAGGTTTTGTTCCTGGTGCATCAACTCAGTGGTAGAATCAGCTCTGCAAGCTGTTATCTGTTTAGAACCTGCCAAGATGAAACTAAGATACTTTTTATAAATGTGGTACCTAGAAACTTCACACAGGGCCTGATTCTTACTCCTGAAACTTTCTGAGTTTGAAAAAGACTTTCTGAGTTTTAAAAGACTTCTTTTAAAATCGTGTTTTTAAATACATTGCTTTACAAACAGTGCATTCATTATAATATAGAGGAATAAATACACTATAAAAAAGATTTTGTTAAAGAGCACAACTGTGTTTGCTAAACTTTGCAAACAAAATGTTTACATGAGATTCCAATTCAGTCCTCAGAAGTTTAGCTGTCTGGTTCTTCTAGTCACTCTTGAAGAACAGAAGAAGAAATTGAATAGTTCTAGTATTCTACTTTTAGTCTCCAAATAGTGTTTTTTTATGCTACTGACATTCAGACACCCAAGATTACTTATTATGTTATAGGTATGCTATTTACTTTTAAACACAATTTTTAGCCCATATACCTTTATTTGTTCACTTGTTTCCACTAAAACAGTGTCAAATATTCTTGCAAATAGCAGCTTCCCGCAGTTTGAGTATTTCATGTGCTAGAAAAAGAATGTGCCCATCTGAAAATTACACTTTGGTTTTCATATAAAGCTGTTGTAATTACACATAAGCAAAGACATATTTCACTAATATCTATTCTACATTTTCATTCCCTGTGAAAGAACAGCATATAGCACTTGCCCAATGGAAAGCTAGAGAAGTAAAGCTTATACTGATCAATCCCTGCCTCAGAAGACTAATGTTTATCATGGCAAAGGGATGAATAAGAATACTAAATTTGCTCTGCAATAAAAAGTAGCTTCTAAATCACAAAAGGCATGTGAAAATCACCTTTGGAAAATGAAAGAAAATATCTGAGTCCAGGCACTAAATGACAAAACCATCAGGGATTCAAATGACTCTCTTAATAAGTAACAGAGTCTGAAATGTTGATCTCTAAGTCACCTATTAAAATCCAGCTAAATTCAATAATAAAAGATTATTGCTGTTTAATAACAACTTCCTGAACAAGAAAAAAGAGTGTGTCTAGAGGTAAAGGAAACCCAAGAACAGAGGGAGTCCTTCAATTGCAAATCCACTGATTTAAAATAAGACACTTGTGGTAATGTCAGCTGCAACAGAATTCTTTTTTCCCCCTGCCATAATGGAAAAACTACTACAATATTATATTTGAGTAAGCTGGGAAATTCTTCTCTTGAAGTATGTTAAACTATCTCTGTTCTTCACAGTGATGCACCCGTAAGGAAGGAGTTTCCCCACACACAAAACTTCTGGCTGCCTGAGCCACTGCTCAGGAGGGGCTTTACATGGAGATGACTTTTATGAGAGAGAAATAATATTTTGAGGGTAATATAACAAGCAGTGACTTGAGGGAAAAGGAAAACCTCCAGGGTATTGGGAGGATGACTCCATTCTTGCTACATCAGTTTAAAAACAGCTGAAGAGCACAGACTATCAGTGCCCGGCATGAACATTCCAGAGTGCATGGGCACTGCCAGACCAGGCTGTGGAAACTCTATTACCTGTTCACAGGGTTAAAAATTCCTTGCAAATATGAAAGGCAAATGATGATCAGGATTACAGAATGCATCTCCAGTAAGGGATGGATATAAATTATTGTGATCAAAGATCACACTTATCAGCACTACAGTAAAGAAAACTGATAATGAACATCAGCTCAGTGCACATCACCACTGCTTCTGAACCAACATTGTGACGGGAACCTTTCAGAGTGCAATTCAGTTTCTTTTCATTAACGCAGTGACTGGAAACTGCATACATGTCCTAATGTTTTACTCAGTGCTTGTGAGAGAACTGTAGGAGAGAAAAGCCTGTTTTCACTAATAGTTCATCCTTTATGAGCAAGGATACAGACAAGCACATACTGCTGTCAGGCAAGAGTGGTTTTTCTCTTGATATTATATACCAGTTAAATCACTTGCCTGCTTCCCCATCCAATTCAAAAAATAAAATCTCCAGAGCTTTTCTACACCTCTGGAAGAAACTACTGGTGCTTGTCTGCTGCTCCTGGGCAATGATTCTATGATTACTCTATAAGCTCCAGGAATTTTCTCTGTTGCAGATGGAGAGAGGTCATCTCTTCCAGAAAAGATTCAGAACAAAAACTCAAAGCAGCTATACTTTATTAAATCTGAAAGGGTTTGTCTTTTTCCACTGACTGCACAGGAGCCCACAGAAATGACAAGGGTAAGGGTAAGGTAGGGTAGGGCTGGTAAGGGTAGCCTTCCTCCAGAGTTCACCCTACTCTCATACTTTTATCTTACTTACTTTGTCTATCTTTACAAAGAGCCAGAAAAGGAAAAAGAAAACTTGACTTCAATTTATGTTGTTTTGTAGGCATTTTCTGTAATATTTATTAGCAACAAATTATGTTTACATATATTTTTTAACATATACTTACCGGGCTATTTAGTGTCTTAACCTCCTAATTCATGGGCAAGAGGAATGACAAATTACAACAGAAGAAAAGGAGCATCAGCTGATTCTAATGTCCATATTAAAGACTATAATATCTCCTTAGGAGACAAATGTTTCTAAGACATCAAGACCATTTATGGAATCAAGAGTTCTATGCCAATAGTTTATATTTAATATAAAATCAGCTAGAAGCTATTTTTTTCTTATGGAATTCTGTAGAATATTTTCTGATACCTATATGTGACTGCATGCAA